TTAACCCTTCATTTATTTTTGTCAAGGTCATGATATACATTCAAGATCGTGTGAAAATGTCGACATTGTGATTATGACATGAATACAAAATACATATTACAAATGTCTACGTGTGTAAGATTTTTAGCTCTCATATTCTAATCATATTTTGAGACTCCTAATTGGTCAATTTGCAATGCCTCTAAGGAAGTTTATCTCTTTGGATCAATAAATATCGCTAACAAAACATTGTACAAACTCTCCACAAGGTCTCAATATAAATATTTAAAGTAGTTATCAAGGCAAACATATGCTAGAAAAACAACACAGTCAATTTGAAAAAAAAATCAAACTAAAGACTTTCAAGTGGCATTACTGACTAGCAGTTTGTATATACACCTAAATATGCGTTTAACTTTGCTGGGAAATATTTCTAAATATTGCGCACGTTCACTTTTCCAAAACACCTCAGAATTTTAAAACGAAGGTCTATAATCGGTGTGTGTTACCAGTAATGACCTACAGAACCGAAACATGGTCTTCCACAGTTGGCTGTATGGAGAAGTTTCAAATTGCTCAGTGAGCTGTGGAGAGGGCTATGCTCGGAGTTTCTTTGCGTAATAAAATCCGAAAAGAGAATATCTGCAGAAGAACCAAAGAGACCGACGTAGCCCGAAGGTTAAGCAATAGACAGAGCAATGGATTCAAAAGCATTGCAGGGAGTCAATGGATGCAGGTGTCTCGGAACCGTTCCTTATGGTAGCCTATGGGGGATGCTTATATTCAGCAGTGGACAGTTAACAGCTAATACGATGATAATGATGATGACGTATTCAATATGAACATAGATAAAGTATTATTGGTGTCAGAACTAGCTACTCGGTATTTCTGTGAGCTACGAGGGTCATTTGAAAAGTTCTTAGCCTAACATGGTTAAAGTCAGGTTATAAAACATTGAGGTTATAAATTATAAAGGCTTATAATAATTAGAAAAGCATAATTCCGATACCTGTTATTGAAATAATATTTAATAATGAAACAAATAATAAAAAGGATCTGTATTCATAATGATTTTGGCCATTAAGTGTCCTCTGTTGAACAAAAATCTCCTCCATAGATTACTTGGACATGGCCCATCTAGCCTTTTGGCTAACCATTTATAGATTTTGTCACAACGAAGCAGAAACATATTGAAGAGAAAGAGAAGAAAATCTATCACTGAGAAGACTGGGTAACTTTCTATTTTATATTTGGATTACGTAAATGTGATCACGTTTCACACTTTCGTTTAGAACTCAAGTGGCTTCCAATTCAGCTTCGTTGTAATTTACATATTCTTTTTCTTCTTTATTCTATAATTTTCAATCCTATTACTCCTAATTACCTTTAATAACGATGTGTATTTCTCGGTGATGTGCAAAGTCATGGATTACACAGTGCTGAGAACCTCCGTCTTAAAATCCCTCATAGCTCTTTGTTTTACTCTGTCATTAAGAGAGAGCGATGGACAGCAGCGTCCTTCTTAAAACATCTCCAAAACCTAACTGCGGTTGCCAATCCGCTTGCAATATGTATACATTTTAGGGGAGGCTTATGCTCAGCAGTGAGCAGTTGGCAACTCTTCTAAAGGAAACACCCACTGAGCCGACTGTCTTTTAGTTTCGGGATCATAACAGTAAATCCAGCTTTCGTCTCCCGTAACTATGTCAAACACAGAATTTGAGTCACCTCCGTTAAATCTTTCATGCATTTCACGGCACCAATCAACATGACGGAGTTTTTGAGCCTCGGTCAAATTATAAGGTATCCACCGGGCACAAAGCTTCCTGACCGCCAAATGTTCATGAAAGATTTTGTGCACTTAACTCATACCAATCCCTAAGTTTGCCCGGATCTGCTGATAGGTCACTCTTTTGTCAGTCTCTATCATACGCCGCACAACACTGATGTTATCTTCAGTCGTCACTGTAGAAGGCCGTCCCTCACGCACATCATCGGTGAGATTAATGCGACCACGTTTAAACTCATTAAACCAGTTGTAAACAGTGGTACGAGACGGGGCTTCATCGTGAAAGACCAATCGTAATCTATCATAACTTTCTTGTTGACTTAGATAACATCGAAAGTCATAAAAAATCATCGCACGAAAATTTTTTCGTGTTAAGTTCATGATACCGTTAAACAGTCTATTTTCAATTTGCCGCCAAACCGTAAAACAAATGACAAACGAATGAATTATATACTCAGTATTATTCGTAGAGTTCCATTTTCAAAATTTTTAATTTTTTTTTATTATATTGCTTTCAAGTAGCCAGGTCTAAAAATTTTCAGTGTAGCCCTCGAATATAGTATTATTCATGGTGCTCGTATAAAGTATTCAATGGTGCAATAAAGAATAAATTAATACAATAAATATTTTTTCACATAATTTGTAGCTGCAATCTACACATGTACCAACGTTATATCTCCTTTGGAAAATGCCCTTTATATCCTAAAGAGATAAAAAACATCGCTGCTAAAACATCTTAAAATTCCTATAACTGATAGGAATTAGCATCAAACTTTTATAAAGAGCGAGCACAAGAGATTACAAAAGTCGCAGTGTTACAGGTTTTTCAGCCTGACAAAGCCCATTTCTCAATAATAATACTTGCATAAGAAACTAAAAATCGCAAATCCGGTCACACATTGAGTATTGCTATCACTTATGGGCGAGAGCACCTAGTAATCAGCTTGAACCCTTCGACTCAGTGCAACAACGAGCTATGAAAATTGTCGACGATCCCAGGCGTAAAAACGGTATCGAACCCTTAGAAGAGATTTTGCCTCACTCTGCGTATTTTACCGCCTGTACAACGGATTGTACTCAAAGGAATTGTTCAATATGATGCCCACGGCCAGTTTCTACCATCGTACGACTCGCCATCGACAGGGAGTTCATCCTCATACCCTACAACCCAAATGGTTGCATACATCGCGTTTTGTGCCGTATGCTTGTTTGCCATATCAGTGATATAAAAAAAAACTTTTGTAACCCTGGTCCTGAGCTAGCAGTATGCTCTTTCTTCTTGCAGTATATTTAATTCTCTATCTAATAGAACTTGCCATACTTTGCATTTTCCTGTGCTTTTATGTACATGTACGATCGCTTCACAACAATCTTGCAGTTTCTATCGCTTGCCAATTCTTAACCATTTCAAAGTCTTTAAATTACTAATTTTACAGGTTCTATCAGTTATTTTAGTTCTTCTGTTCTCCTCATTTCAGATTCTATTAAGCAACGGTACTCCCAATCAATTTCTTATACATCCTTAATCTGGTTTTCAAATTAAGTAAAGCGTTTCGGCGATACAATGTATAGACGGTAGATAAATATTCGCAATTACACATGTTCTCATAGCTACAAAGTTACGAGTCAATGCAAGCATCATAAAACCAAATCACAGTGAACTCGACTATCCGACCATTCTGACGTTAATTCGTGTTACCGCATCTGTTTTGAATAATCGTGGCCGATGGCTATTTCGACATGTTCGTTCAACTAGAAGATCCAACCTGCATAATATCTTAGTCGATTGACGAATAGAATATTTTAATGTTTTCCTTTATTCTAGACACCAATTATTACATAGCATATTTTTCGAATACAAAAATCCATTCCATTTCAATGAACTTTAAATTTAAGAGAGTTGTACAAAAAGTTACAACCTAAATTATTAACAACTTATATAAACATAATACAACTCATAAAAGCTAGTTTTGGTTTTATTTTTTTATTATTTTATTTTCAAACATATTTAATTTCTTGTTAGTAGTATTATTAATTTCATGAATTTGGGTTCAATTTGTCAGTTGCCCCAAAATTAATTGAGAGATGATTGCAGTTAAGAAATCTCATAAAAATCTTACATAACATTCACATATCATCATCGTCATCATATCAGTCGTTATCTGTCCACTGCTCGTCATATATACATATACATAAGCCTCCCACATAAACTGCCAAAAGGAACGATGCTGAACCATCTGCATGCACTGACTCCTTGTAATGCATTTAATACCATAACTGCATCTAGTGGGAGGCCATCCTACAAAATGTTTACTCGTACGAGGTCGCCATATAAAAATCTTTCTTCACCATTGATTACTTTTTACATATAACATTATCAAAATTAATATAACATGTTTTGCTCATTCCAGTCCTTACAACACTAACCTCTACTGTTTAAACCAAACGTTTGTATATACTAGTTCATATTTAAATAAAATTTAAATTTTGTGTTACATTACGATATGAACTGACTTTACTTCTAATGTCTACTGTTCTATATTTTTTGTTGAATTACATCCAGCCTTATATTTAAATTTTTTTTTTCGTTGACTGTAAATTTACCTGTAATTTTACACCCTGTCGTGTAAAGTGTACAATTATTAATTAACACATAACAAATAATAAAGTCATTAACGTTCTATCAAGACCTCAGTTTACACTGTATGTAATATTGTGTTTTCTTGTCATCTGCAATATATTATTATTATTTGGTTCTTTATTTTAATTTTTAATACATTATTTATTTCAAATCAATTTACTACAAACATTTTTTGAGGTCCTCGTAAAATGTTTTATTCCAATCATCTCTGTACAGTCCACTGAAATAGAGATAGTATATTTCACTGTACAATATTACAAGTGTTACAATATTCCCATCGTCCGGTGCGTTACATCCTATATGTAAATACTTTTCAAATTCTCTATTACCAGCGTGACTTTCAAATGTATTCTAATATACTCATTCTAATATTTCATCCAGCAGCTTTCATACATGCCAAAATCCATCTCAGCTGTATATAGTGTTTCGTCCATCGCCTTTCCGGGCCTACATCGAAAACCGTAAAAGACAGTACAGTGGACCAGATCATGTTCTTGTAAATCTTTTTCTTAAGTTTAATTTAATTCGATACACTATAACAATTTTCACATAATAATATCATAATTTCATTTACAGGTTATCAAGAATAATGCTTGCGGAAAATCAAGATTGTACTCTGAAAATAGTATTTAGCATGTCCTATGTAAAGCAACCTAAATCTTTCTATTCTAAAATGAAAAATATTACTCGATTTATTTTAATATTATATATTAAAATTTTTAAAAGACTAAAACTCCCCTCAATAGTTAGTAATCATAGAAACAGAAATAGACCTGATTAGACAAATCCGACAGAGATAAAACTCTATGGCAGAGCCCTTTGAAATAAACAAAACAAAAAATACTATGATATTTATAGAAAAATAAAATTATCAAGTAATTATAGAATCTACATAATGTCCTAACTCTATATACTGAAGAAAATTGTTTACATATTTAACATGTATACAAATGGACGTAAGTACAATCCTTTTGGATTGTGGATGTCAAAAATGCTGTGCGAAAACTGCTTCTGCGAATGTATATTCATTTGTATGAAAATCGGTAAGTATTTATTATTTTACTTATTCTTACTAATATAAGATATAAACCAGCTGTATCCAAAAATTTTACTCGCGTGAAGTAAAAAAATAACCTATTATGTTAATCTTGCATCTTTGTACTAAATCGTTTTTAAAACCATTCAGCTCCTTAAGCGTAAAACATATTTATAAACTTGTATGTTCATAAAATTAGTAGGATATAAGTTTGTTTCTCTGTTACCTCTAGGTATATTAAAGTTTAACCAGATGTTATGAAACTTGGTATATCTATAAAATAATCAAAATGTAGACGTAATTAAAAAAAAACCTTTATTTTGTTTACTCTGAGGAAGTCACGGGTACAATGTGTTTTTAATGAATGTGAAAGTTCGTAGATATTTGTTTCGACTCTTAATCTCAATTGAATGGATTCAAATAAAATCTGGTTCAGAAAATTTTCTAGATTAACACATAGGATAAGTACTTTTTTCCACATTTATATAGGAAACTCTACGGGTGAAAATATATACAAATAATATTAATGTGTATAAAGTTATACAGTTTTGTGAAAGGAAAACTCAAAATATTGGTTATGTATATGTGGTGTATAAGAATGTATGAGGTGTCTTATTAATCCCAGGAATTCTGATTATCTTATAGTTGTAGGCTGTAGGTAAGTACCTACTTAAAATTATTGTAATAAATATTACAAGAATATTTGAAAGAAGATCCTCTATCTTCTTTGCCTAGCAGTGGGACATCATAGGTAAATAATAGATAAATAGGTACTTATTAAGGAATAGTAATAAAAAATAGGAATAAAAATAAATAGGTATTATTTATATTCCACATCAACTATTTATTATGAGGATAAGGCATTAGCGCCTCCGCGGTAGGCTTTGATTGGCTAAATTATCTACAACATAAAATTCGGTCGCGCCTATTTGTCGCGCCTATGTGCCACGTGCCAAGAGTGTCCATTAATTTCTATTTTTAGAGATATATAAAATTATTAATATCTAATTAAAAGTGTGTGTGTGATTTCAATTGGAGAATGTTTCTGTGGTGATTTAAACAAACGGTAACTACAACCTTTTCATAAAGTTCTAATTTACTATTACTTTTTGCTATTTCCGCGGCTCTACTTTACTAATCTATAGGTATTCTCACTTGTTTTCGTGAAAAATCAGGAAACTCCATGGTACTGTTCATTTACATTACATGAGATAATCTTGTAAAAGACAATAATAATAATAAGACGTTCAGTCGAAACTGATTGTACGTTGTTACCAAATTTCTCCTTACGTATAGATACTTATTGTGTAATATTTGGTTCCACAAAAAAATCTTTTCTCATAACAAAAATAGCATTATTTTAAAATAGGAATCAACCACTCGATTACATATGAAAATATAATAAATTACCAAAAGATTAACATTATACATAACAGGTACCATACATTCAAATATATATTGTTAAATTGAAAGCCATCTTCTAATTGAAATCGTTTAAAAATGAGATTACCCAATTTTTGTCCTGTAGACGTGGTAACACTATTTGTGCCTGACCTGATGAACGCAAGTCGGCGTTATTTGCCACATAATTTACATAGAGATAGATCAGTGTCCCGGCGGGGCGCGCACCCGTTGAATTTCTATTGTTTAGATTGGAAAACTAAGTGCGCCCGTGGTCGACTTTCCTCTCACGTCATTATTAGGTTGCAGGTGTTGTTGACTACATTCATTAACAGTTATAAACTGATTCCATAAAATATTATATTATAATATTTAAAAAAATATATATTAAAAAATTACGTCATCCAATAATAATATTTTACGTAATCCTTGAGAAAATGTAGCTTATATGTAACTAAAGGAAAAGTAAGAATTTTTTGTAACTAGTCATATATTACCACTATCCTACAGAGCTGTACGTAGACCCAAGTTTAAGGTAGAGCAAAATAACTTTTTGGTAGGGCAGAAGCCCTAATTAAGAAACTTCAAAAAAGCGAATCTAATTTTCTTGGGGCCTTTCTTAAGGTACGGTATTGGACCTTCTAAGGTCTCCCCCTTAAGGGCAATTCCCCTCAATACCTCCCCGCCCCCCTTAATAGTACGGCCATGCTGTGATATAACGTAAATTAGCTATTAATAGAAGTTAAATTACAGGTAAAAAAAATATAATATAGCTCACTAGAATTCATCTCTTAAATAGTGTATGACAATGATATATGTTTTAGACAAAGATTATATATAGTACTATTTTAAATTTCAGAATATCACATACTCGTATGAAGTAGATAACAAATAATAATAAGAATCAGTGCTAACTGCAAATTCGAATACATAAGAAATATAAATCAATTAAAATCAAATCGTCCAAGAACGATTTCATAGCAATCACCATTCCTAGATGTGAATGGGTTCTAGATACAAATCGATTTCCTAATGGCACTGTGACCACCCGGCCCGTGGAGATTGACTCATTTGCACTGCATTACATTACCGTGTGACACGACTGGCCACTCTCATCATCTCCGTAATGGACACAGGGATTCACAACACTCCACTATTGGACACCGTTTAGTCAATTGCAATTGATAAATGAAATCAGCATTTTATTTCTCAACTCTGTGTACTTATAAATTATTAGGAAAAGTGTCCTATCCAGTACTTTTCTCTTCTTCTTCAATCCGGGATTTTCTTTATCTGATAACTGTTATTTAAATAAAATCCAACCAAACCTATAAACATGATTGCGTAACAAACATCCAAACATATTTACAAAGTTTTGCTTTTAGAATAATTAGAACAATCATGAACTTCCGTCGTGAAATCTATATTTTACTTATGACATATAAATTATCTGGAAGAGATTGCTTAAAAATAGAGCCTTCTTATTGAAAATTCTTAAACAATTCATATAATATTGTTGCAATAAATAAATATATAAAAACTTTAAGTAATTATATACTTTTACTGCAATCTACAAATTATGCTCATTTTGATTACCATGCGGCTATATTTACTGGAATAAATATATGTATAATTCTTAGTGAATAAAGAGACAATTTGAGAGTACACCAAATATCTTGATACTTAACGAGCTAATAAGATATTTTTTACATTTTTTTTATAAAAGATAAATATCATACACCAGCTCACTGTTATGCACTGTCATTTTGTTTTGTATGTCAAATATACCAAGATCGAATAGAGTTTCTGATATCCCTCACAACTTGTATACAGACGCTGAACTGGCTATTCCAACATATTCTAGAATCAAGTCGAATTGCAGACAAAAGTAGGTGAGTGCTTTACTTGTATTTTGATACTCACTGTAAGCATTCTACACTGACTATTGTAGTGCAGTTTCTACTGAAGTTCTTCGTGTATTAGTAGGGTGGATTCTATGTCGTCAATTCTCTTAAATTATCTCTAAAATTTTTATTTTTATTTGATATCACAGCGAAATCTTTTTTTTTTTTTGTAATGACCAATATGAACTAAATTTTTTATAATTTAAGTCAAAATTATTATAAATTATGTCTATAGTCCATATAATTATAATTACGCAAAACTATCAAATTAAAATGTTAGGTTATGAAGTAGGTAGGTAGTAGGTAGGTAGGTATATCCAAAGAAATGACGTCTCAGAATCGACCCCAGTGTAGCATCAATTTGCTATGTAAACTCTTAAGAAAAATTATATATATATATATATATATATATATATATAGGCCATTTCAATTAAATAAAAGGTAATTTACAGATTTTGTTGCTCTTATTCGTCCGTTTATCACCAAAAATGACGTAAAAGTGTCAAGAGGACTGATCCTAAATAGGAAATAGCCAGAAAATTAATTGCTTGATTTCCTTTTTTGCCTGATAGACAATGAGAAAGAAGGCTATTTTATATAATATCCTAGGCACCACAAAGCAAGTAATCACTACCTAAGCATTTTCAGTTTTAAGCTCACCATTATAAGGAGTATTTATTATCAAAAACAATAAATATTTTTTTATGATACGAAATCCATAAAGTAAATAAAATACCATAATGGGTAATCGTTATCGTTACCTGTATTTTACAGGAGGTGAAAATTTTTCGATATATTTTGTAGAGAGCAATTGAACATTATTTGTTTTCCATGTCTAAAACATTAGAGACAAAATTTTCTATTGAAGGTACTATCGACGTGAGATTAAACGTGAAATAGGTTACAGAAAAGAACCACAAGGTGTGCAAAATCACCATTTATTCAATTAATCTATTAATCATAACCTATAACGTTCCACTATTGGGCAATGGCTTCCCTCCTACTGCTTCCATTTCACAAGACCGCTGACCAAACCCTGCCAGTCTTTATGAAACCGGTCGAGGTCGTCTCTCTATCGCATACCAGGTCTTCCGAGACATCTTTTTGTTTTTCAGGGCGCCAATATAATTGTCGCCGACCTATCGCTTGACATGCGACTCATTTGTCCTACTCAGTTTCACTTCAGAGTTACCGCTTTTTGTGTTGCCTCAGCAAATTTTGTTCGACAACGCAGTATTTCGTATCTCGTATACTCGTATAAGTTTTTATTTTTATCGCTTCTCAACCTTTTGATTAAGATCAAAGTGTATGTTAATTTTATTTCCAATATACTGCATTCCATTTCCCTTTAGCAAACCTCGAGTTTCGACTTTTGATTCTGTGTTAAAGAATATGTCTGTGCTCCATAGGTATCACCATCCTTACCACCTTTTATTATATTTATTACCGTCAGATTAACTCGCAAATTACTCAAAAAATCCGCAAGTTATTGAAAACTTATGGTCATAATATCCATGGTATAGATTTAGGACCTGCAGTACTCTCTGAATCCTATGTTTATAATATTATACTAAAGATATCATTCATTAAATTCATAGATTTAGGATAGTATCTACGAGCTTCTTTCTAGGATTAAAATCTATCAAACCGTTTAAGTATTATTTGTAACTCTTTTAAGAAAATGAAAATACATTTTAAATTTAGTTTATTGCAACATATTTGGGTGCAAAATATTAGCACAGTTACCTATTAGTAAATTTTCAAAGCTACTATTAAGTACTAACTTTATGTATCGCTGTGATAGACAGACAGACGAACAAAATCGACGAAGAAAACGTTCCTTTTTATTACAAAGTGTTTGCAATATCTATTATACATTTAATAGATACGAGTATGTATACCCAACATAGCAGATTCTTCGATTTGTTGCCAAGTTCAATGACCCGTTCATGGCCATGATTAGGTCAGTAGTCGTTCTATCTAGGCTGAAATAGTCTTGTTTAAGTGATTCAATTGTCTTCAGCTATTGTCACACTAAAAAATTTAGGAAGTAGGAATATACTGAGTTAGATTTTTAAGTAATATTTATTCCAGATAGGTTCTTCGACGGGCAAGACAGTACTTGTGTTACTTTGTATCTCGTAAAATTTATAGATACCTATTAAGTGTGTTAAAAAATATGGCCATGTCAAAGAGATTACAGTTGAAATAATATTTTTCTTTTTCACAAACAGACAATTTTATCTGTCTATGTATTCCAGCATCAAAAAAAACAACACCAAATTGACAGCGCTTTTCTTAGATGTTTTCCTAAAGATATAAAAAGTTAATACCTGTATTACTTTATGGTTATATTATAATTTTACGTTAATATGTCCTCTAAAAATGGTTAGTTACATCTAAAATCCACGCGTACGAAATTCCGGGCGATAGCTATTTTTTAATACAAATAGACTTACCTATTTATACAAAAAAAGGTCATCATCTTGTAGATGAAGATAATTATAAATTTCCTATGCAATCATTCTCTCACAAGGCCATACATTTTACATTATTATTGCAGTTAATGCAAACAGGGTCGTTAGCGACATCTTCTTACTACGCCCAGAAACAGTGATTCTTATAACTGGTGTTAACAGTTATAGATGGCGTTATACGTACGCTTTAAAATTTTGCCATTCATGTCATCCTCAAGGACAGTTCTGAAATGAATATCGTACAGCATTTAAAATTGAATTAAAAAAATCTCTTATTAATAATTAATAATAAATACATAGACGCAATTTAAGAACAAATTAATTAATTTATTTAAAAATGTACGACTGAGGTTATGAATTCCGTGTGATGCATCTCTAATCTCTCTATTATGTATCTATGGATATTATGTCCATACAGTCAAATATTTGCAAAAATTTTAAATATTCCACATAGTGTTCTAATTACTACTATATTATAGCCAAACACTATTTGTTTCATTTTTTCTTAATTCTTCTTTATAAAATCATTAATAATATTATTTAGGTAAACAAAACATTACCTTACTAATGCGAAATTTAAATTTAGCGCTATAAAGTGAGAAGCGTGTGAAGTTCGCGTTGCGAATACTGGCCGAATTATGATGTGAAAGATATTCCGAAGGCCGTGAGTGAACACGGAAATCGAGATGTGATGTGTGTGTGGTCAAAAAGACAGTGCAAGGTAGGGGTCGGGTGGCGTTTGTGATGGCAAAATTTTTGCAAATGGTGAGTTAGGAGATATCGACTTCTTGTGTGTCTCGGAATTGATTTCAATTTGTGCTAGTGAATTATTTGTGTGTGTAGAGAAATTTTTGGTGTTAATTGTTAATAAAATTCTCAAATTCTGTGATACGGGATCGGCAAATGGCGCTACGAATAGCCAAAGTTGACACAACTACGCGTTTAGAATACCGTTTATCGTCCTTTGCCAATTTTTAAGCACGCGGCATGATCTGTGATAACAACAAATACTGGTGCATCTTCAAATTCTTGATATCTCGCGTGTGGACATAGCAACTGGGACATCCAGCTTGGCGATTATAACGGTGTCAGCATGTTGCGATTTTTTTGGCGAGCGGTACTACTTTTTTAAACTCGTTTATAGAGGCGGCTAGAGGTTTCCGCGTCCCGTAGGGTCGGTGGCCCCGCGGTGCGTCTTCTGGAGTTAAATTACATAATGTATGGGTCTTGTTTAGAGCATGCAACAAGTAGATATGTGTCGGCGGGCTAACTGTCAATGTTGGAGTACAGTAAGCTCGCTGCCCGCGGCCCCCATTAATTCGAGCCGCTGATGTCACTTATCTCTGCGCTCTACTATCTAGGCCCTATGGCCGCCAATTTTTTGCACATAATATCTTAATGTAAACTTGATAACCGGCGCACGCCTCGTAACTACCGGCTGTTGAGAATTTAGTGATGCAATTATAGGTTGATTGTCAAATTCAAAATGCATGTATGAATGTGTATAAAGTATATAATTTCACCTATTATAGAGCATTAAAATTTTTCAACACAATATACTATTTTTACTTTATTTTCATAGGTTATAATGTGTTTAACTAATGCATAGCATTATTTGCAGCACGGTCACTGACAACACTGGCACCTACAATGGACCAGCAATTTTGTTTGCGCTGGAACAACCACCCAAACAACCTAACTGATGTGCTAGCAAGTCTATTACAAAGAGAGGCACTCTGCGATGTCACATTGGCCTGTGATGGGGAAACAGTCAAGGTATATTTGTATTTCTAATTTATTTAAGCTATTTCATTACTGAATCTCAATATTATGCTATTGAATTTAGGTATACTTTAGTCATTGTTTTATTCATGTATCTGTGTATTTTTTTAAACAAAATTACTGTTGTATAATCTATATATTGCAATCAAAACAAATGCTATTATTTTATACTGTGTAAGGAAATGTGTGTAAATGTTAAAACATACTGCTGTCAAACCATGTGCAACTGTTTGTTATTTTATCACAACAAATTGCATTCAATAGTAAACAAACCTGAGTAATGCTGTATGCAATAAGTTATTATGTCATTATAGGTATAAACTCATTCTTGTATTCATTGCAACAAATAAATTATAACATTCACATTTTAAATAATATATTAAATAACATATTTTACTATTTCCTGAATTACACTTATACATACCTGCTGTTTCAGGTCTGAATTTTACTTGGTTTTTAATTTTATACTAAACAAATACCTATCATAGTCTATTACAAATTGAATACTACTTAATGTCAGTTTGATATTAAAATTAACTGTGTGTTGGAAAGTCATTATCTCTACACAAAATATAATATTTTTAATAGCAAAATCATAGTAAACTATTTATTAAAATAATTTTTGTTGAAAATACTCTTGAGCGTCCTTTATCTTAAAATTCAAATACAAATTTAATAACTAGGGCTTCAGTAGATTTAAATTTAAAAAACTAGCTTAAAATATGGTTATAAACATATTTATTTGAGATAAATACCTATAAAACATAAAATCTGTTTTATACAGTGGTTTTTCTATTGAATTAAGAAAGGTGAAGGATCTAAATTTAACTGTATTTTTTTTTATTATATTTCACTTGTTTCATCACCAAATCCATATCAATTTTTATTATTCTTTTTACAATTGATAGAGTTTACTCTCACTATGGTTAACAAAATTATTATATAACTTATAGTGTAATATTTTGTTATAATTGACATCTTGAACAAAATCTATTTTTTTTTTGTTCTTAAACTAATAATAAAATAAATTATATTCAGAAGGGATTTTAATTGTTACCAGGTTATGTATATATAATACAAAATGTCATATATAATCACATGTATGTTACATGTAAGAAACAATAGTAAGCAAAAAAATCTGTATAATTTGAAATGTATGTGTATGGCTAACACAGAATTTCATTATTGGACTAAAATTATTATTGTTGAATCTTATCTTTATTCCGCTTTGTTTATTGTATTTTTGTAATTGTAAACAATTTAATTGGGTATGTTACCTATATATATATATATATATATATATATATATATAATGTGTAAGTTATTCAGTTACTTATTGACAGGTGAAGATACATACAATCATAATATGACCATACCACCAGATTTTATGTTAGATCTTCAGAAATGCAACTAAAAACCATATCCAATTTGATACAGTAAATTTTGCGTGATGATACTATTGGTATTATTAAGAGCACACGTATTTAATAAATTTGTATTTATTTATTTTTTAATTTAAAGGTACATAGGGTTCTGAACTACCAGTAGGCTACGAAAACTAATAATTAGTATATGAAATAGAATAATTTATTGTTACTGTATGCAAATGTTACTCGAGTCAAGGTAGTCTGCATTTTAGATTCATATTTAAATATTTGGTAATTTCCTATAGTTTATTATTATAATATTATTATTTATTATAAAATAATTGCGTAACAGAGCTACCAAAAATTATTATTTACAACAAAATAGAAAATATTGTTACCATTAATATATAATATAAGCGTTTTTTAACTGTAATTTTAATTTCGCTGTATCTTTTATCCCACTATCTATTGTCCCACATTACATTAGCAATTAGATGAGACCACTTTTTGATTCCCTTTAAAATTTAACTTTGGGATTTAATTTGATGCATGTTATTATTTATTTAGTCTCCCCACAATATCCCTGTCTTTTTCAAACTATTAAGTCTTTTTTTATAAGATAACCTAAAATCTTGCCATTGTCAGAATTTTTATTTCATTTACTTTTATCGTTATCTCTTTTCTTTTTTAGTCTAATTTATCTTCTTCGTTATTTTATTTCAAATAGCTCTAATCTTTTTTATCATTTACACTTATACAGTATATATGTTATATTCTTACATCACATATTATGATACCATTTCAGCAAAACACCAGTAACTAAATCAAGTTTTAACTTTTTTAACTTCAACTTCATGCAAATAGAAATAGGTTAAAATTCCTTTTTCATTAAATATTATCTCCCTTTCTGAGTTACGTGTGAACCAATGCATTTCAAATACCTATAAGTACATTATTTTAGAATCAGAATATGGATAATTTTATGGTACCTACAACCTATATAAGAAAGTACTTTGATCACCTATTTCGTTATTAATTATATTTATAAACTATAATATGTTATGACTAGCATTATACCCGCTACTTCGTATACGTGGTTTAAAAAAAAAGGAAAATCAATTAAATAGACCACTCCTAGATCGCATATCGAATAACATACACCAGTTTTTAAGTTAGACCCCGAGAAACGCAATAGTGAAGACCGCATTCAATTTGATGCGATAGTTTTTGCATGATGTCAGAACAAACATACAGATAAACAGACAAAATTTCTAAAATTGTTGTTTTGACTTCTATTCCTCTTGTTAAAACTTATTACATAATTTTTTCTTAAATATTTCGCATTTACAGGCATCGTCCAATTACAATTTTATTATATTATTTAGATTAATTTCTTATAATTTTTAAAAGTTATGATTATACCACAAACTAAAATCAAAATATATTAAATTTAAAAATGTATGACGATCATGTGCATAAATAGACACTAACATGACAAACAGTTTATATCATCATTGTAAAATGTATAATCAACGAGTATAACAGAACCTGAATCTAAAATATGATTACAGACAATTTTGTTTAGATTTAATTTGGAAAATTAATAAAAATAAAAAAAAAACACTTAAAAACGAATTCACATTTGAATCTTCGATCATTTCCTTGTCAATGTATCAATAAGTACGCGTCAGTTAACAGGAAACTTATATTCTGTAGAGTATTATTATTGATATATAAAAAATTTAAGAATCAAATTACCATAAAAAAAGTTACATTAAAAACTGTCCCGAGTTGGAATTTAAACGTTAGATTTGCACATAAAAGGCCATCAACTTCAGTCGTATCAAAACTAGAAAACCTTAATCGCAATCCCCTATGAATAAAACTGTCTAATATATTAATGCATTATTAATAACCTATTAATAATGCAAACAGGACTATCAATATCGGCTCAATATTGACATCGTGTAGCATAACACATAAGAAAATAGGCAAATTGAAAGACTCCTCCTTTTTGAAGTCATTTAAAAAAACTAAATTGCTATACCTAGAATTTTAATTCTATATATAAAAGTCACTTAAAAATTAGTTAAATAATGTATAATACGATACGGAATCGAATACTTAGATCTAAAGGTATTTTTTGGACAAATTAAAATAAAACGAAATAAAAATACTTTTTTTTATGCAACTACAAATGGCCAACGGAATGACGGTTCAATTTGAATAAAATGATTTATCTTAATTCCTGCTCTAAAATGTGTTGCGAAGATAAGATATACAGTCGCAAACCTATAAACAAATTGCTAAAATTATTATTATTATCAATTATGTTACAATAATCTTAGCATATTCGCTTCCATTGTTAGATATATGCATGAATCTTTATTCAACTCTCGTTCAAATTTTTCATTACAACTTCACTCATTTGAATTCTAAGATATTTTTACTATTAACTTCAATAGTGATCTATCCTTTTGTTAAACGTTAACTAATAGTTTTAATGAGGTATTAATATATGTCTTTAAATTCTATTTTTATTATATATGGTATGTAAACCTAAAATACAATAACTATAATTCGTGTTTTATAATATATATATATCTTTTAAAATGTTAGGTCTTGAAGTGTTATTGTTCCCATTTCTAAAGTTAGCTGGAATAGATCACTCTACTGATCAGTACGCCCATTTTTTGCTCCTTTTTCTCGTTTCGTTAATGTTTTGTATTAATATTATTACAATATTTTGTTTTCTGTTTATCTATCTTTGAAGTCAACAAAGAAATGCATTCACTTAGGTATTCATTTTAATTTTGGAAAAATATATTGTAAGTTAAGAAATGACATAAAGATTCTATCTTATTTTGCAACTTAATTTGGCTAAATTTAGCGGTAATGATGACGGCCCTTTTCTGTACCGTATAGAGTACAGTTTGAAATGTAAAGGTCAATAACACTGTCTGGCTAGTCACTTCCTTTATACCATTTAAATTCAAGATTATGAAAGTTAAAATGCTAATAAAATGCAATTTATTTTGTAGGTTGAAAGGAGTCTGCAGAAGATCTGCATGTTTTTTAACTTTCTAATTTTTAATGTCAGTAGTTTGGCAGGTTTTAGGGTCTATTTTAGACTAGAACGCCGTATGCATATGTATAGCTCTTCTGTCGATAATTTACAATATATGCTCTTCAGTATTAATATAGTTGAATATAATTAATGAATTTACATTTACATATTTAATAAAAGTATGTAGTTCTAAATTAATATTTTTACAAAATATTGAAATTACATTGGAATTGGAAACAAATTTATATTACTTTAACATACTGTTAATTAATAAATATTTTATCTATCTATGATCCATTCGATAAACGATGTTTAAATCTTAAATTTCAATTAAATCTCTTTAAAATCGTATTTTATTAATTCACATACAATATTTTGAATCCATATCAACTGAAAATTAAAAAAATACATTACAAAATATATATTAACTGAAGGGTTCCTCACTTGCTTGAAATAGATTGTTGGTAAATGAAAACCGTTATACAGTAATACTAACGGGATGTGTAACTGCATCGTGCTAGTAGGTAGATGCAGCAATTAGTATTTCAGACTATTTTTTGCGACGACACGTGCTATATAAACTAAAAGCTTGATAGTTTTTGTATATGAAGCTCTATGCCGGAAATTACTATTATATAACACAATCTGAAGTCCGGCGGGAGTTATTCTCCTTAGATGTTCATAAGTCGAATGGGCCAGACGGTATATCAACAGTGATCCTAAAGCAGTGTATTCCGAAACTGTCTTGTATTAACGCGTCTCTTCACGATCTCGTACTCCTCAGGGCAATTTCCTTCAACATGGAAGACCACCCATGTACATCCTGTACCTAAAAAGGGCGATAAGTCGGACCCTTCAAATTACAGGCCGTTTGTGATCACTTTCCTTTTTTCTAAGGTGATGAAGCGTATACTTAACGCACAGCTGTTAAAATACCTAGAGGATCACGATTTATTGAGTGACCGCCAATATGGCTGCCATAGTCGCTCAACTGGTGACTTCTTGGTATATCTTATGCACCGATGAGCATCAGCCATTGAAAGTCAAGGTGAGGCGCTCGCTGTCGGTCTTGATATTGCAAAGGCATGTGACCGGGTCTAGCATCGGGGTCTTCTATCGAAATTGCCCTACTATGGACTTCCCGACAGCCTCTGTAAATGGGTCGCCAGTTTTTTGTCCGGCAGACGCATAAAAACCATTGTAGATGGTTGCTGCTTAAATAGCATGGATATTAACACTGGCGTCCCGCAGATTCTATGTTGTCCCCAATGCTGTTTCTGCTGCATATTAATGATATGTTAACCTTTGATGACATTCATTGTTATGCGGATGACAGCACTGGGGATGCCCATTATACGGGTCATACCAATGTCCCTCGTTCCATCGTGGAGAACAATCGTGAACAGCTTGTGTCTGAAATCGAGAGAACGTTAACTTGAGTCTCTGATTGGGGACGACAAAATTTGATCTAATTTAACCCCTCTAAGACACAAGCTTGCGCGTTCGCTGCTAAAAAAAAAACCATTTGCTATGGCCCCACAATTCCAGGGCTCTCATCTCTTAACATCTCTAAAAGCATTAGGATCCTTGGTGTCGACATCTCTAGTTACGTACAGTTCCGTGGCCACTAGATTGATCCTACTCAAAACAAAAAATAAATTAGAAATAAAAGTAGTTAGAATTTGTATAAAGATAGGTATAGCATTATTCAAATTCAGCTAGTGACAAACAATGTCTTCTTTATAAATTAGTAATAATTTTGACCTACTTTTGTTTAATAAACTTTTTAAATACCAGATGCAAACATTGTACAAATGTCATCTGCATGGATACATCTATCCCACTCGTGTTTCTACCATGAAGCAGCTACACTTACATGGTTACTTTTTTTTATTAAAAGGGTGGGATATAACAGTGAAATTACAGGGATAGCATACGGAAGCACAACATCATAGTTCTCAGGAATAGTAACGTATGAGTGGGGGGGGGGGGGGGGGGGACAAGGCGCATCACAGTATATTCTATGATGTGCGTATTCATGTCTGTAAGCGACGGTTACCACATCCCATTGAATGGGCCGTCAGATTACTATTCTAAGTATTATAAAAAAATATTATCTGTACATTATATAATATATGCCACATAGCAACCTTCTAGAAATTAAACACTACTAAGTGTACACTAAAATTCTATTTTATGAAGAGTACTGCCTAATTTTAATAACAATAGCTTGGCTAAAATGGCAGTTATGCATTATTGCCATATAATAGCAACATAATTGAGAAGACCTTCAAAAACTGAGTGTGGCAGGACATAATTTCCTTTGTTAGAATTAATGGAAAATATATTGTATTATTTTTTAGGCACATCAGACGATACTCTCAGCCTGTTCCCCATATTTTGAAAGTATTTTCCTGCAAAACTCGCACCCGCATCCAATTATATTCCTAAAAGATGTAAGATTCACAGAAATGAAGTCATTATTGGACTTCATGTATAAGGTGAGTTTAATATTATTTAACAAATAGCTTGTATTTGAAGTTATATTAGTAGAATTGTTATTTATTAATTTTGTTTATATATAAAATTTACTATACCTTTCAGGGGGAAGTAAATGTTGGCCAAAATATGCTACCGATGTTCCTAAAAACTGCAGAAAGTTTACAAGTGAGAGGGTTGACAGAAAATAATACATTGAATCCTAAGGTAAATCTTAATTCTTTAATTTGCTTAGTGTAATTTGTAGTATACAATGCATAAAATTTTAATAATGTTCTACTTAGTAATTCAAAATTAACTGATTTATTAGTAACTATATATGCGTAATTTAATATATAGGTATAATTCGTCTATTAAACGACAATTAGACACTAGAAAGATTTTATTTAAATTATTATTTTTAATTTAATTGGACTATATACTTAATAATTTTATAAATATGAAAGTGAACTTACTTGTTACCTCGTACTAGTACCTTAGTGAACTAATCAATATTAAATCTGGCATATTTGTAGTATTTAGGGTGGAGATTGATATAGACTACTTTTTAATGTTAAATTAATTGTAATATTCCGGTCACCATAGATAATGTCGCAGACCTAACTAGTCATATATAAAATCGTAGTTTTAAAATACAAAATTATCGCGATAGGATAATGTTGCTATGCTGAAAATAATTGTAATTTCTGATGTAAATAATGTAACTAGTTATTTGCATAGAAACTGCTGATTCTCTTGTAATGCTAATATAGTCAAAAATATGCAGATAAAAAATTAAGTAAGTATATTTATCTTTATCTACATTTAAGTGCTAAGAAGCCTTCATTCAAAATTCCTAGTAGACCCCTAATCTTTATCAATTAAAACTACAATTACAATTAAGCTATATAATTTATACATAACTATAATCTATTCAATTTCCATTTCTAAATAATAAAAGAGGCTACATTTTTTATTATTATCATCCACGTCTTCTGTTTCTATTTCAGTATGAATTGAAAAATGTGAAACGAATAATGTCTCTTACAGTAACGATAATGAGATTACAGAATGCAATTCATAAATGCATGTAATGTTAGGAAGTAATAAATAGTGAAAATTATAACAAAAAATTTATTTGACAACTATAATATCTAAGAATTTTGCTGATTAAAATGTAATAATCTAGTTTTCAATAGACTATTTTTATTAAACAGTATAATTTTTTTATTATAAATCCATACACATACAGCACACCATCTACCATCATAGATAAAAAATAACGCCAACGTTATTACTTTTTGAAACTTACGAAGATCAAAATTTAAACACATTTCAAATAATTATTATCCTTATTTAAAACACAATTTCTTTCATTTTTAATTTGTTTAATTCTTAGTTTCTTTTTTTTTCCATGTAAACAATTACTGAGCAGATAAAAGAATCGAATATTATTACATGTTCATCACATTATTTTGTCTAATGTTTCTTTTATTTCACTTGTTCACACCAGTTGTAATATTGATTACCTTAACTAGTTTTTTTTGCATTAAAATTCCACTGTAGTACATTCTTTGGCTGTTGACCTTGTATTTTGGTGACGATCGCTAGACGACTCTGGGGTGTACGTTGAATTAATAGATATCACGCGAAAATTATTAAGCTCCCCATTTAATTATAATGCATAAATTAGCTGCAAAGTTCGGATTTGCATATACAGGTTCAGCTGCTTCCTACTTCAGTGGCCATGTTAGTAGGGCAAGCGCAATTTTTTTTATCGTTTATCGAACCATGTTCCTTTGGGAAAATTATTGTTACACTCCCACTCTCCCTTAAAAAGATACTAATGATGTTCATTTCATTTACCCTGTATGGTGGTGGTAGCGTTAGGACAAAACTTTTTAGATACAACAAATTAAAATACTTTTGAAACATGAAATGTAATTTTATTTAAACTATCTTATTTGCATAATCATTAAGAACGTAAGAGACATGTATTGTCAGTACTTCAAATTCACAAATGCATTAATGTTTCGTGTTATAGCAACGACAAATTTAGAAAAAGTGAATATTTATGCTAACATTTCGCCAACAGCTAACCTAAATACTTTGGGATTTATTTCTACCGTGGATTTTTATTGTAATTTGGTCTGCCAGTCTTGATGTTATAATATAATACAATGACAACTAATGTATATAATTGAAAGTTTTCGAAAGGTTAGTTCTAGGTATCAATAATTACATGAATCTAGAAAACACGTTATTATAAAAAGCTTTCCAAACCTCGCTCGAAGAAATCGAAGTGAAAGTCGCGTTTTTTTATAATTATTATAATATTTTATCCTAGATCATCTAACAACAAAATATTAGTTATAAATATGATCAATACCTGTTCTCTGGAACTCACATTCTAAGTTATTCTAATATGACCTTCGAAACAAAAAAACTTAAATAGCTTTTATAATTTATCATAGTATGTGATAGCACATTTACTTTTCTATCATATCAGGACAATAGAAAAATCAAAATATATGCAGTTATATGCTTGTAAATTTCCGTGTATGATGTTATGTTGTGTCCGCTCATGGTAAAGAACCTTTAACCTACCCAAAACCATAGTACCCTTTAATTGTTTACCTACTCTACCTGTGTTCGGGACTTAATTTGTATAACTGAAACAATAGTTTCTCTCACTCACAAATATTACATGTATGCTAAATTTGATTACTATTGGTTCTGCCTTCACGCGCTATAAGGTTGAACTCTCATTTCTACAATTAGTATGAGTATTATAGTATTAGTAAAAATTTTGAAATGAATCAGCTTTAAAATTGAATACAATAACCTTTTTATATATTTACCTATTTTATCCGATAATATACGAAAGCGTAAATGTTGATTTAAGGCCAATTTGTATTTTTATTCATTAGTCATACACTTTTTAATCCGAACCTGTTTGAGAACAGACAGAGGACCGTTCAACGCCATCAGTCAGCGCGGAGAACCTATCATCTCGGACGGAGTCTTTCGCGACTCCGCCTGCTGCACACTGTGCGCCGCCCGCGCCCCTCACACCGCTATCCTCGGCGCCCACGCACCCTGCGCATCCGCCGCACTCCTTGCCGCTCGAAAAGAGACGCAGAAAGAATTCCTCGGTGCCAAGAGAAGACGAATTGTCTTACAGACACTATGAGGTATGTTAAAGATTTCGGCTTCTTAGTAAGACGCGGAATTATACAACTAATTTGATGTCATCACATACACAAACAGAACTAACAATACATTTCTATATTAATTTTGTTTGCTTCAAATTGTATGTAATTGTATAAGTGTGCTTCTTTAATTTAAAATAAATAAAATTTATAACAGGAATTGTAACGGAGCCAAGTGGATGAATTGTTGTTCATCTCAACTAAATAAATTAGTATTTTTGTCAATATTCTATAGCAGGGACATCTAAAGTCGGTAAAAGGCGGTTCAACGGGCTCGGGGTCGGAGCCGTCGACGCCACCGCCGGCGCACACGCCGCAGCGGCTGACGCCGCGGTCGCCGGCGCACACGCCGCACGTGAAGCAGGAGCCCGAGTCGCCGTACACAGCCGCGGCCCCCGCGCCGCCCGCGCCTGCGCCCGTCACGCCTCACGCCCCCCTCTCTTCCCTCGCCACGCACCAACATCATCCGCCGCCACACTTCGACCAGACGCATCTCACGGTCAGTGGTTTGGTATACAATTCTCAGTACATTGTCTCTAATTAATTATACGAGTACAGGATGACAACGTATTGCAAATTTTCAGCGCACCGTTTTTTGTGCATCATTTTGTAATATACGAACATCAGAACTATATGTATCTAAAATAATCTATGTGTAGAAAATTTGAAATGTGTATTTTATTATTATTTTATTGTGATCGTATAATTTAAAATTTTATTCCACAAAAAAGAGACTTCAATCGTGATTAAATTACACAAGAGAACCTTATTTAATCTATTATTAAAATTAATTGAGCATCGATAAAGACATCGTAATAATATAGACAAAAAATACCAACGAAACTTCAAAACGATTCTACTTGTACTCACACCAAATAAGAATGATAATATTACATTTAAACTTCCCCAAACCATTGCATTTATTATTAAAAATACAATGAATATTGGTAATATAAACTAGCACTTAACAGTTTAACGTCTTACGTAATAAATGTTTCCAAAAATAAATACTGCTCAATTTTATAAATATAATTAAATTTTATGTAGGTATTAAAAATAAAATATAATAATAATATTTAAATGTGTTTGGGGTCTGTTGAAATATAAATATTAAAACTTAAGTGATAACGTATATTTTCTGAAATTATAATAAGAAGGTGATCTTTTTCTTCTTTTGCTGTTATTTTTTCTACTCTATTCTTAAATGTAAGTAAAAACCACGTCTTTCAAAAAGTTTGTCGACAGACAGGAAGGAATGGATCTGCCTAAAATAATTGGATATATTTTATTTCAAAATTAAAAAATAAAGCAGATCCTTTCCCTATCTGTTGGCAGACCTCGAATCGATATGAAGTTACCGAGATGGAAGAGAGATTAGACCAAATTGAGACACCTCCGTTGGATCTCGCCGCTGATCGACCGTCTAACACCATACTCGCTTCAATTCTGACCTTGCCGCCACAACAATATGGCCCTCCATCGCAAATCAAGCAGAATCATCCTAATATAAAAAAGACTGGACGTTTTAGGTCCAGTTGGTTAGCACTATATCCATGGTTACAGTATGACAAATTGCAAAATATAATGTATTGTACATATTGTAGAAAATGGTCACATGAGCTTACTGTTAATAGAACATCCTTCATAGAGGGAAACGCTAATTTTAGGTTAGAAATAGTAAATCACCATGATAAATGTAAAGCTCACAAGTTTTGTCATAATCGTGAACTTTCACAGAAATTAAACGTGGGATTAGATAACGAAATACAAAATGTTAATGACTTATCAAAAACTGTGTGAAGAAAATGTAAAAAAAACTGAGATGAACAACAACTCACTATTGTTGTATAGTATTTGATAAATCATGATTATATGTAAGTTATCTAAACCAATAGACGTCCTGCTCAAATTTCAATGCGAACTCTGACATTTGCACTCTATAAGTCCCTTTACCTTGTATATTAGCACTAATATCAACTAATAAAATTTCTAAAGCTCTTCGATTTCAAGACCGTATGCGAATTCTTTCTGTACTTACGCGCCATACTGTAGTTTAAAAACTTAAAAGAACAAAAATAATCAGCCAAATACTGCATGTAATAGTACCTAGTAGGATAGCCTTGATCTATGTCCAAATGGTTCTATCGACAGTTACAATCGAAACTGCGATAACGATTTCCAAATTTACAAGCAGCTTTTCGGAAATATTAGGCTGATTCTTTTATTATTTTATATTATATACGATTCTATGACTATTAGTATAGAGCGTATAGACATAAATTCTAAATACGTTTTCGTTAGTAGTTTTTACAATTTGAGCAGTACGTGTTATGCAGTATTAATTTTGTTAAGAATTTACACTACTTTTTTTTATTTTGTAGAGTATTCGATAGATAGAATCTTAATGCTGGCCATTTACAGGGTATGCAGAGATAGCCAAGTGCCAAATTCCTTACATACTAATGTATCTCGCTTCATCCATTTTAATAACTCGTCTTTACTTGCTGTTTTCGAAGAATTGAGTCCTTTCATTTAGATTATCTCTCTGAGCATGATGGTCTAAAATTCCCCCGATATCCATACCTTGATAATGTTACATTTACGAACCACTTTATTATACGTTTTCTCAAAACATCAATTTCATTGTTAGTTTTAGCCACATTGAAATCGCCATCTTTGAATGAGCGCTACTTTTTGAAAACTTATAGATAGCCAGATACCTATATTTTATTCTTGTATATTTTATAATTATTCATTTCATTATAACCAACACATTAGGCCTAATAACAAGTATACTCTTATACACATTTACTATTCAGTTTTGTTGCCGAAACTGTGCTCATCCAGATCATAAGATCACGTGTTGAAAACAGATTCTGTTTCCACTAAGGCATACTGATAGAAGCTGTTAGACAATACTTACATCACATTAGACTAAATATCAACTTCACATGTCAAGTATTTTTTTTTTTATAATTTCATTAATCAATCAACAATTATATACCTATAGATTATCTGCCAGATTAAAAACTACTAAACTAAAACAGTACTTTATCTGTGCATTTTTATAATAATAATAATTTATATATAACATATAAGTAAATAAATTTATTCCATCTGTGATAGTTAAACATAAGAAAAATATTTTAATTATTTTTTTTTATAATATACATAAATAGTCTTTCCTTTATGTTCCTGATTTTTATAAAAATGTCCAATATAATATTATCAATACCTATTTAATTGTAATTTCCTATCTAGCTATAATATAATACTAACATTTCCAAATTAAGTATTTTCTCTTATTTTAAAACTGTAATGAAAAAGTCTTTAAACAAGTAATTATAGCTCTACTGAGCATTTTATTATTTTGAAATCCTTATATGTCGGCTGATTTGAACAATTCGTTTATATTATTGATTGCCACATGTTTATTGACTGTGTAATATAATAGTAATATTCTAGTGTAATTGATAAAATAGAAATTCTAGTTAAGAATTTTACTGTTATATCAGTCCTAAAAATAAAAATGTGTCCGTTCTCTTTTTGTACATTACTTTTTCCCTTTTAAAAACTAATATTCATATGTATATTTATTAATAGCTTATCATATGTTTACGGTTAACTAGAACGCCTGTGCCAAAAAAAAAATTGGCGGTGCTTAGAATTTAAGCACTAAAGCATTGACAGCAAGAAATAAAATCGCATTTATACAAGTGTAGTCTGGATTTAGAACTTGACTTAACATTAATACTAAATTATAATAACCGTTAGACAGAGCCCAACATAAAACCAGTAAAATGCATTCTACTAAAATTTTTAGCAAACCTGTTACTATGGATGATCAGTATTTCGTGAATTTCTTATTAAATTTATCTTTTTTGGTCTACCCATTATATTAATACATAATAATAAATCTTTGATCCATTAATTTTTATATCTATTTCTCAATCTATCAGGTAATTGGAATTATATTCAATAGAATATTAATTAGCATAAAATGACTCATCTTTCATTTATATATGAAACTTGTTCCCAGCAAAAAGAAAATGACGATATTGGGTAGTTATGAATTAACGTAACAGTTAGAAGTATTCTGCCTCAGTTCTGACAAAATTAGACCAACTAAATAAAATTAACAAACCAATAAATAGAACCGTGAACATAGGTACAGTTTATAAAAATATACTCAAATTTACAACTTCCTTTTTAAATTTTGTTCTTAATAAATCGAATTCCAGGGTATCGGAGTAAGCGAAATGGCATCTATGTTGACCCAGCATCCACTTGGCAATGACTGCAACGAGAGCGAGCCTATGCTGCAACCGCATCCTGACCAAACTGATACTATAGACGGTGAGTTATTTTTAGCAATTCCCCTCGACGACTACAAATAAAAAGCAGACATTCCTTAAATATCTAAGTGTACTTTGTAACGGGTCAAGGCCTAAAGTTGACTTGCAAATAAAGAATAAATTTACATTAAAGACAACCTAGTATTCCTAAATTGTGTAATTTTGTAGTCGTCGGAATTATTTTGCAATGGTGTGTTATATGGAGCCTCCTTCCCATGTTTTAAAGTACTGCTTTTGCATACCAATGCCAAGTTTAGATTTTACATTGTCGCTTAAAATAAAACTCGTGTCAAAATGCTGTACAACAACTTTTAATATTGGCATATATTTTCATTACTCTTTAACGAGACGCGATGCTTCGGTTATTTTAAGGAGTTGAGATTTTTTAACTGATTCATTATAATTAATTCATGGGAAAAAAATCAATTGGATGTTTCAAGTTTGTTGAAGAGACGAGATTCGCTGATTTACATTTAGTTTTCATATTTCGGTTCCTTTTTTTTTAGAAATATTTAAGAAATCCTATGAAATGTGTACCAAGAAAAAAATTATTATGAAAAAAGAAAGATATTAACTTTAAAAACATAAACGTTAACTATAATAATAAGAGAAGATTGTATTCTGATATGTTCAGTATTTTTTATATAAAGAAAATTTATTGTGCGTTGATTTGACAAATTATATTACATAATTTTACAGAATTTTTAATATTTAATTATGAGAATAAAAAATATAAAATAAATAGTTATTAATAAAATCCATTTTACACAGTATATATAGACGAAATAACAACAATCTTGAAACCTATGCAATCAATCCATGAATAAATAAATTTAATAATTAATTCTCGATAATAGCCGATCCAAGATTTATTAATTATTATCTAAATTGGAAATTAAACAGTGAAATAAATATATCTGGACATTATTCGTGTTGCAATAAGCTATGCTATATTAATTGTCACCACGCATGTTTTAGCATCCTTGTGCATGTATTTTGTCACTCTATGCTTTAATAATGTAATGACGCTTTTTCTTTTTGCTTCTATAGAAATCTTATTTATCTATATTATGAAGAAATCGGTGTCATGTGGTTTTATAACGATGATTTGGCGCCCCTGAGGGACATAGGTCGTAACAGTTTTATAGTACAACTTTTTAGACAAAGTGTGTTAATGATTGTTTAAGAATAGAGATTTAATTGTATGACGAGGATTACAACTGAACAATAAGATTGCATGTAAGGTAAAGGGAATGGAATGGTTTTTAAATATGATATAGGTTTTATGCGGAAATTAGATAAAGCTAATTTGAAAACATATATATTTTTATAGAAAAGTATATAACCAAAACGGAATGCACCACAGTCCTTCCTGTTTTAGTTATATGTTTTACTTAAGAGGCAGCATGCCGACAAATGACTGACTTCTATCAAGAATTACACATGTCTTACAGGTGAGCACTATGGCGATGATGAAAACGTTAAACCACAGGAAATGCTCAAGCATAGCTTAGTAAATATCGATAAAATAGTTAAATCGTTTAAAACAGCCTTAAATCAGAAACCATACAGTATTCCTGAGTCGTGTAATATTTGCGGTAAACTCGTGAACAATTTAAAGAAACATATGAAATCACATAACCCAGAACAACACAAATGTCCTTTATGTCCAATTATTTTGACACGTGCTGATAATTTAAAAAGACATTTGCGTATGAAACATTGTTCAGTTTTAAGGTCCAACAATTTATCTAATATACAAACAAAATGTTAACCCTGTTGTAGTAATAATAATTTTACATAAAGTACAAAATTGTTTTAATGGTGTATAAAGAGATTGAACCTATCAAAAAGTGCATTGGAATTTGCATGAATATTCTTCACCATAACTCACTTCGATATCTATTATAGCTGTACAGCAATAATCGCAAATATAAATAGTGTAATTAAATACTATATCTAAATAATAGGAAACACTTTTAGGCTATCTAATATTAGAATTAACTAACATTCTGCAAAATAGCCTAACACAAGTGCGCTTATTTATTGGTTCTAACAATTATCATCATGTAACTAGAATTAAGGTGTGGTGTGTTTAATTTTGTTTAATTTACATTAAGTTCTATGGAATACTCATATAATAAAATAAAAGCGAAAATCGTAATTGGTTTTATAAATAAATACAAGTGTTAATTTATTAAAACGGTTTTTAATACTACTGTATTATGCATAGATTTTCGCTTTTATTAGAACCATTGATGATGTGAATTTTCTATGTATTATTTAGATAGTCTCATTAAAGGAGCTCAATGCTCAAATTGTTGAACATGTATTCATTATTTTCAATATTTGTATAGTGGATACGAACCAACATATGTGCTGTGACAAGTTAGACAAATCATTTATAAGTATACAACAGTGATATTTATAATGAAATTCAACTCGTAAAATATATTTGTGCGAATATTCTTGCGAATGCGATTTATTATTAGATGTGATCAATTAAGTAATAGAATTATGTCTAAACTTATCGCAAATAATATGTACTGGTGCAACACTTAATATTATTACTTTTACCTTTTACATAACTTTTAACTCTAATGTATTTATGATGATTTGCATCATCGAATAAAATACTCATTTTCTCGCGTAAAGTCAATAATGAGAAATCCAAATATAATACAGGATATAATGCATAAATGAAGAATAATATAATAATATCTACGATCCTAATACACACAATAATACTAATAGTTAAAACGAGATAACATTATAAGAAAACACGAAAATGTAAGCAATATTTTTGTCTTACTTTGTGTAGCTTTTATTTTTTGATAACTCCAATTACTTGCGCATCAAAATTTAAACAATAGCTAATATACGCGAATAAATATTTGATTAATTTATATCGACTAAAAATTATTTGTATTTTACATTCTATAACTATTTATCAACAACAATTTATATTTTCTTTTTTTCACTGCATATTTACATTATTGTATTTTCATTTATCGCGATCGAAATCATCGACAACATAACAATTCCCAATTAAGATGTAATATTATAATTATATATTTTGATATCAATTAATTAAAAAAAAAAACCATCAATCCATGATTAACATTTATAGGGATACCATCCCTATAAATGTTAATCATGGATTGATAAAAATCGATATATAGATTTTAGCATTATCTTTACATTACCCATAATGCATACGCTCATATCGTTTCTATGACTTTATGATGTGATATGACCAAATTGATGACATTTTTAATCGTTGAAATAAAGTACATGTTCCATATGTACGATTATATATTTTCGATCTGTTTACATGCTTATAAATGATTTTTGTTCCTAATAATGTACTAATTGCTAACTTTATGATCTCCTTTCGTTCCTTGTAGTTTAAATAACCAGACACTAGTCGTGTCAAGAACTGATTTTACATGTATACTTTAAGGAACACTTTAATTTTATTTTTCCTTTAACAAATCACGATTAATTTGTATGTAAATCTATCGTTACTGTGTGTTTGTTGCAAATATATTCCTTTATTTATATCACTTTTCTTTTCATTTCATCCTCTATTAATGCTTTCTTTATATATAGCAGACCTATATCTCTGTACGAATCGCCTTCTATATACAACAGGCTTGGTGATAGTAAATTAACAACGTCATACGTAAATAACAAACACCATATTTCTTCAATATCATTGATTCATTTCTGCATGAATCTCCCATTATTAAATAATATATTCTTTGGTTAACAATAATTTCACGTTGTTTTTTATGAATTCAATTTTTATATTTCTTATTAATGCTTTTTTTACTATAGTGCTAGGTGGAGCATATAGTACAGCGTTTAACAATTATTACAAGAGCTTTCTATAGTGCTAAATTGACTATTAGGTGTATTTTGCTGAATAATTTGTAAATGAAATACATACATTCAAATATAATTTATTTACCTAAAATACATCACAAATTCGATCGTACTTTGCAATAAATGCTGCAGAACCAACAAAAATAAGGTAAAAAATTGTTGTGATTGTGTGGCAATAACATGCTAATTAATACCATATAATTATAATATATCGTATCTCAAAAAACTGCATTAAAATATGTATTAATTATTGAATTTTAATTTGGTCAAAAGTTTATGAAAATTACCTATAGTCTCTAATAAAATATAAAATACACGTTGATGCAGTTTTTGTGTTGCGGAAAGCAGTTGGGACTGCGGCATTGAGGCATATAACGACGGGTAGAATGAGGGTGTGATGTATGTGGGTGTGGTGTGACGTGGGAGTGACGGCTCGCTGGTTGCAGGCTCGAAGGGCTGGCACATGCGGCTGACGTTCGAGCGGGTGGCGGGCGCGCTCAATCTGCACCGCTGCAAGCTGTGCGGCAAGGTGGTCACTCACATCCGGAACCACTATCACGTGCATTTCCCCGGGCGGTTCGAGTGCCCGCTGTGCCGCGCCACCTACACGCGCTCCGACAACCTCCGCACGCACTGCAAGTTCAAACACCCCGCGTACAACCCCGACACGCGCAAGTTCGAGCCCCCGCCCGCGCCGCCCGCGCCAGCGCCCCCGCACGCGCCGCTCTTCGCCAACCACCTGGACGCGGGCTTCGACTGATTGTCCATGTACTGGCTCGGCCTCGACGCTCTGTGAGCGCCCGCCTTGTGCCAGCTCAGACTCTCGTTGTTGATGTGTCAAAATTTTAACAGACCGTCTCGCGTCGAAACCGCTTCCTATTTAGGATTAAGCTGAAGTGCTATTACTTAAACGGGCCTTTCTTAGGTACCCCGAACGTGTCGGGTGACTCGTTTAGTATTGTCTCGGTTGTGCGTTTGACTTGCCCAAGTGTGACCTTGTATAAGATTCCAGTCAGGAATGTAACTATTATGTCGATGTTACTGATTTAATAACTTGAAGCGTATATAAACTAGGTAAGCAAATTTTTTTCTATACCAATTGCTATACGGGAACGGGCAAAAGCAATAATATGATGTTAATTTTATTACCATATTATTTTTTATATTATATAGATAAGAATCTTAAGCTATTTAAGGATATACATTATTATTGAGTAGCGGTGCGACCGCGAAGTGATGCTGGCTATTAACGGTGGCTCCAGTATGGGCCCACACTTTCTTGTTATATTTATTCATTAGATAGGAAATTATGAGTTTCCTGTAGCCAATTGTATTTATGTTATTATATACTACATCGTACGGGTGGTGCAGAGAATGACATCAAACGGAAAGGATCCAGAGGACTGGGAAAGAGATTGTGATCTGTCGTTGGTCAACGACATATAAATATTGACTGAATCTCAGTGTAGATGCATTTGTAACTCCATGAGGCCTTTGCAAGATGGATAATTTATAAGGATATGTGATGTATTAAAGGATAGCGCCTAAGGAAACATACGAAAAGATTTTTATACTAGACTAGTTGATCTATTTACGGAGATTGTTTTTTTTTATACTTAGATATATTCTATGTCTGATTTAATATACTTTTATATTTATATAATATGATTTATTAGTGTTGTTTGTTTTTATTGATTCAGCATATTATAGTAACATTAATTTCGTTTATATTCAGTTGACGTTTAGACACTTTAGAATTGTCAAATGAGATGAAATGTTAACGTGTTTTATTATTTTATCGTTGGTAGGTGTTTAGTTGTCTTAAATGGCAGAGTGCCGGCCGCGCCGCGCCTCTTGCCCTCGTGTGATCGGTGCTTGAGGTCAAAGACCTCGTTCAATTACTATAAGATAGTAAGAAACGTTTCGTGGTTGCGCATTTAGTAACTAATATTGGCATTCTACGATTGGGACTAACCTAGCGTTTATGTATGTATTTTTCAATTAAGATTTAAGATTGTTACATTTTTAGCTAAACACTTAGAGTGGTACGGTAACTGAAATGTGATAAAATGGAATGGTGCTACAACCAAGAGTGTTAACACGCTACGATTCGACTCCTATTATAATATTATTAATGTGTTAATGATTAGTTACTTTGCATTAATTAATATAAGGCATCTAGCATCCAGTTGAGGTCGCATCTGTCTGGTCAACGGGTAAAATTACGCATGGTCTTAGAGATTACAGTATCACTCGAGATTTTACCTTCATTTATTTCTGATATCTTTAATCAAATTTACTAATAAATCAATAATATGACCCGTTTCAAATCAGATCATAGTTTACCAAAAATAAAAAGTTCATTAATATTGTAAGAAACTACCGCATCCAAATAACAAATCCATAATTGTTTCCACAAATATATTGTGGTGTTAGTACTATTTAGTAGCTGTGAACATGCAATTACAGATGTGCAATTTTTTGAAAATAGTCATAACTCATAGATAGATTTTACAATTGTCTATTGAATTTAGGGGCCCACTTAAATTAAGCTGTAAACTCCCGTCTATGTAATTAAAATACCGCCAAACATACTTCTCATAGTTTTTACACATAATTTTATAAAATGTTAAGAGAATTTTAAAACTATTATGTATCGTACAGTGGGCGCTTATTATTTGATAGCATTTCATACTCAGTGCAATATTACTAGTTATTTAATTACGTAACCAAACTAAAGGATATGTTATATAATTAATGTCTTCGAAGAGAGTAACTATACCTATTTTGTATTTGCATAAGTGAACTCCTCATTTCTATTTCTATCTAGTGAATCAGTTTGGGTTACGGTGATGTACAGGTTTTATAGCTGGTAATATTAAGATTTAGCTTGTTTACCTCTGCCAATCGTAATAGTTATGTACTATTTAATAATTTATTATCGCGCAAGTTAAAGTCTATTGTTGAAAATAGATCATAGCTATCCAGTGCGGGCGTGAGAGCCCAGTGAGAATGGTTGATCAGTGATCTCCCTATGGCGCGAACGGAGCCAGCCCAATGCCAGTTGCGCGTTTGGCAGGTTGCCGCTAGCGTTCTACGCTTCATCTAATCATGAATGCATTTTTTATATTACTATCACTCAAGACCAATTTTGAATATTAAATTTGCTATAGCAAATTAAATGATTAGTAACATAGAATATTATTTTAGATATTTTAGGTTAGGATACTTGATAGTGTCTGGCCAGAATATTTTGGAGTATCACATCGTTTGGCTCAGAAAATATCTACTTTGATCTCTTTTCGGCTTTCAGGAAGTATGCCACTTAAATTATTATATAATGACCACGTAATTGGACTTAATGAAAGCTAACTTTATGCCATATGGAATTTATACATAAGGTTAACGAATTACTAAATTTAGTCTTATGAAATTGAGGTCTTGTGGACCTAGTCACTTGTTTGGCCAATCTATTGAATATTCCAATTTATTATATATTAAAATTTACATTTTATATCACAAAGGATGTGATAATTTCTTTTGAAATCAATGGAGTGCAGGATGAGCATATGATGATAGTTATTTTCAGGATAGCAATGGTCTAGTTATGTTTATTTTGTTTCGTCTTTATAACATTAGCAAATTTGTTATAGTGTCGTATATCACAATAGAATAATACTAATAGGAAGGGGGTGTCAAATCGTGTACCTAACAGCTGTCTGTAGTCTTGTTATATTATTACATAAAATTTTATGAACTATTTGTTGTTTATGAATATTTTGTTTAATTTCTTGGTTTGATGCCTCCGTTAAAAGTTTAATTTAAATAATTTCGTTTTATGCAAGCAGTTAATGCAATTATTTTTTTTTCACATTGTTTGATGTTATGTAATGCAATCTTAACATGTTGCAAACTCCTGCATTTATCTGTTGTATTTATTACTAATTTTTACATTAAATTGTGGTATGTTACAATCCGTGTAGTTTCAGTTGTGCGTTTCACACGCCCCGCACCCAAATACAAATGTCTTGCATACGAACTAGTCCTAATGCACAGACAACGCCATTATCATCCAATCAAAGCTTGTCAGTTCCCATTACATACAGAGAATGCAATTTCTCTTCCAAATAAACGGGTTCGATTCCTGACCTAAATAATTAAGGAACGATTATTTATGTCGTGCATGAAATGAACGTGGCGAATGCATACGTTTTAATTGTGGTAAGCGTAGAGGTGTGCAGGCGTGGCGTGACGGCGCTAGCGGGTTGTTGGTTGCAGAGCGCGCGCAGGCGCCGCCAGCGTTTTCCTACCACAGCACATTCGTGGCGGCAGCGGGCAGCGCCGCGCTGTGGCGCTGCACGCGGTGCGGCAAGGAGGTGACCAACCGCTGGCACCACTTCCACTCACACACGGCGCAGCGCTCGCCCTGCCCCTACTGCCCGGCCACCTACAGCCGCGTCGACACCCTGCGCTCGCATCTACGCCACAAACACTCAGCGCTAGTACTGCCCAAGCATTAAGCTAGTGCATCACATCCGTACTGGCCGACGCCACTCGACCTCTACCTTGCTACTGACCACGTGCACCCACGTACTGATTGTACGTAACTAAATCTATGTTCGTGTTACATATACATTGTTTTGTCGTTATATTAACGTATATTTCGTATTTAAAGTTCGATAAGTAGATAATGTTTTATCGCACGTTTTCGTGCTTATTTATTATTCTTTGTGGGTAAGTACAGTTATTAATATATGTATATATTTAACTATCTTTTAAATAACAGGGTATATTATATTGAAATGTAGGTTTTGTCTATAGGTAATAAGGAGGTGTAAGTCTTCAGTGAATGTTAAATCTTTAAGAATTTACTTGCTATATGCTACTAAAATTGTACTTTTGGTTTTATATGTCTAAACGCTGTTATATGTGTAGACGGTTTACTTTAATGTAAAATATCTTCTTAACTATATAATTCATAATTGATTCAAACAATTCAAATTATAAGAGAAACGTTTACTAAAATTAATAACATTACTAAAATTTCATTAAAAGGTAAATTCTGCAGAATGTAATGGAAATGTTTTCTTAAAACGCTCAAAGGGATTATGTAGATAAATATATTTGCTCTACTGTATCTATTTAAGAGAATGTGAAGATAAAGACTGAACTGGCAAGCGACTTTAATAATCAAAAATACACACGACACGTGGTCCGAATGTAAATAGTAATATAATTAAAATTATAGATAGAGGATAATATTGGGACTTAAAAAACGTGTTCATAATTAGAATGGAACACGTACTATATAATTATAGAAATCATTTTATTGACGTAAAATATGTTTAAGAATTATTTCATCCTAAAATTATATTTTTGTATAAGTATTATCTGCGAAAATTGCAATGTACCAAGTGTTAGGTACTGTATTAGCTTTTAATGGTCCAATATCATTCGATAAACTAATTATATCGTTAGTTAATTATTATATAAAAGCTGTGTTGTGTCCTTCGTAAATGCATGTTATACGTTATATTAACTCTAATGAATCTCAGTTTCAGTCTTTAGGCTAATCATTTGTCATTGTTTGTAGGAAAGTGTTCATATGTAGGTAAATGTTGATGTTTACAAGTCCCAATCTAAGAATGTACTTACATTTTTTTTTTTTATATATTTAATCAAAAGTAAATTTAAAATCTGTGATTAATATATATAAATTTCTGTAACATTTACTTCAATTGTTTTCGACATTTTATATTTTTAGTTCAGCTTCATTGAACGTTTTTATCATTACAGATAAAATTATATTCTCAATAGAATAATATAGAAAATATATCGACTACTTTGCATTGTGCTGTAAATAAAATCATTCACATTATTCACTGGCTATGGGTGTTTCTTTTCTAACAAAAGTCCATAAAAGAACAGTTGAATGTTAAACAAATATGATAATTTATTGCACATTATAAGAATATTTTACATTTATATTTAACAGCAAAATATTGTCAAGGTAATAATTTACAGGCTCCAAATTAATTACTATGAGTATTACACTTTAAATAATGTCAATTGTCAAATAAATACATTCTGACAAACCAAAATTAAAATTAGGTACCTATTACAAATACAGATATTGTGTATTTGCACCTTACGTCTAAACATATTATTAAGTTAATCGAATTAAACATGGCAATCTATGGCAAGTTTAATTCCTTAAAAAAGTATCATTCACACGAGAACACAACTTTAAAATAGATTATTAAAATGGCAAAATTAAAAATTATAATTCGACCTTCAGGCGTTCCTTAAACGATCAATCACGCCATTTTATACGTTCACAACTCACGCATACCACCTAGCAACCATCTACGTATCCATTGAAAATGAACTCCATGTTATCACAGCATATTGGACCTATTTGATATCGTAAGGGCATATTACACTGTCCAGTAATTAGGATCATGTCTAAGTCAATTTATGATGCTAATGATTAATATCATTATAAAATTTTACAGTGTTTTATAAATATTGAATAGAAATATCCTTGTGGGACAACTCTTCATTTCTACTCTGTATTTATGACTAAAAAAGTAAAGATTAAAGCAAAAGCAAAAAATATTGAATCGCATTCTAAATTTTATAATGCTGCTCATCATTGCTGGCCTAGTAAATTGATTTAGATTATATGCTATTTGGTAGTGTAATATGTCCCTTATCGATATTTTATTTAAAGGTAACCTATTAATTTTATCATTAAATAGAATGACTACATTTATAAAGTTTGAAACTTGGATCAGTCCGTTAATCTTTCCACATTACCGCTCATGCCAGGAGATTCTACAATAACACTAGGTGCGCTCAAATCGCTTGTTCCGCTTGCTCCAGTTTGTTCAGTTGCTGTGCTTCCCGCCTCCTTCTCACTGGAGTCGTTGGACTCTGTTGAATCATCAGCATCCATCTTATTTGACGCGGTCTGTTTTTTCTTGTTTTTTTTAAACTGCTCTTCCATCTCCTTGAATTTCAGACTCAAATATCTAAAATATAAAGTAGATTTTATGAAATTCCAAAATGAAATAACAGGATACAGAGGCATAACGCTTTAGTTCAGGTAGAAAGGGACTGTTAGTAATAGGGTCTAACATCCCTATTGCTAATAATATAGCTTATCAAATCGACATCCATGCAGTACTTGGAAACTATCATGATTAATTATTGTTGAATTCGTCAAGATGGACCAACCGACCTGTTTCATCCTCAACTATCATCCCACACTGGTGCCACCCAAGTAGGATTACCATTCCATTTTCACCCATAACCCTAACCGTTTGTCTAACCTAGTTCTGTAAAAAATATTACATTAGTTGTATTTCAAACAAAGAAAGAAAACTTCCAAAATCATTAAAATTCTCTATACTAAAATAACATTGAAATTTAACTGTAAGTAGTATGCTATTGTACAACCCACCACTTCTATTGCCATAGTATAAATAAATAAATTGCCACCAAAAATAAATAACTACTAAATAAAGACAAATAGCCTATCTCTGAGAACTGTACCTAATTAATAGATAAATACGTAGATTCTGTTTGAACACAGGAATCAACCACGAGTGAGTGTAAATTCAATAAAAAGGATTTAATCCTGTGTTAGTCTATCATAAATAATTATCAAAATGTGTGCAAAAGTGTCAAAAATATTGCAGAATATAAAAATAATACATTTGAATTAAGAATCTTTCTCTTTTCGTTAATATGTTAAAACTTCTAATAAAAATTGTTAAAAATTAATTATCAATACTCACTTATCGACCAAAGGTCCACTGTAGTCTTCAGGGAATTTAGGCGAATGGGGCAGGATAAATTTGTAAAGGCTCTCATTAAGGACATACAGCTGTGCCGTAGAAGAACATCGAACATTGAACCACCAGTCACATGTTAGCGCAGCCTGAGAGAATATTGTTCCATTCGGACACAGGAATGAAGCTTGGCCACCATTCAGGTCGCAATAGTGCCATACCTGTACAAAATAATAATAACAGTTAAAATATTTTCCTAAATATCTAGTAGATAATGCAATAAAAATAAAAAGTAGTTAACACATGTAATCCCACATTATTTATTCTCTAACAAGGTACTCGTATATTGTGTGTTGCAGTCAAAAGCACTATTGACTAGCAAAATCAGTCAAAAGTACTTTTGACCATATGCTTTAGTCAACAATACTTTTGAACTAACAGTTAAAAGTACCTAACCTAACCGCAAATTTGCAATCAAAAGTACTTTTGACTGATTTTGTTAGTCAATAGTAGTTTTGATTGCAACAATTAAACTTTTTCAAATTTATAAACGACCAAAATTATTTTTCACTGTTGGTAGATTAAGTACACGTGTTATTAAAGACAATGCTTATTTCTTGAGATCCTTTAAAAATAATTTCATTTAGATAATTGTGGTTAAAATATGTATAGACACATGTATTATTTTTATTGTTTCCAATTTTCATATCAATTATGTACTACATGTTCATAATAGTAGATAGGTACTATAAATTTTGATGAAGGTTAAATTTGACCTCTAAAATTTATGATGCTACTGAACACAGCTATTACGATCCATTTCTGAGCATCGATTTTTGCTCATAAGGAAAAGATACAACATAATTTTACCGAGATGACCTGGAGATATTGAATCGGTATTTCTTTCTTTCGCACTTGTTATTTGTTGTATATTTGTTTTCTTAGTTTATGACATTCTAGAATTTGAAAGTAATGGTGACACATTGTAGTTATTCGTAATCCCTCACGCTACAGAAGTCTCAAAACCATCCAATATTATGAACTATGAGGTTGCTTATTTTCATAATATTAAGTACCTGACATCTCGTTTCAGTATCCGCAAAGAATCCCTTATAACGTTGAGTCTTACAATTGAAGCTGGTATGAGGTATTGTCGTCAGAATAGGATAATCGACCCCAGGTCGTCCTGGAGTACCGCCTTCGTCATCGGATGTGATTGGCAGAGGAAACTGCTGACTAGTACCTCCACTTATTGGAACTTCTGTAATAAATTTTACATGATAATGCAGGTTAATTAACCGATACTTTGAGTAAATAGACTTGTATTGCGACGGAAGACCAATCCATAATATCAAGTTACCACTGCACTAAACACTTCTTTCCTTTACAAAAATATTTAAGGAGCGATCTGGCGAGAGCATATCGAAAACATAACACTGTGTTGTAATTGTTTCTTTCTGCTTTACGCCCATATTAAATTCTAGAATGCTCAACTATAATATCGAGTCCGAAACTATTACAGCATCCCTGGATTTAATACAATAGTAAATAATTACAAACCAGAGAATAATAAGATGTTTGCTTACTAGCATCCTATTAATATTATAAATGCAAACATTTGTAATGATGAATGTATTGATATTTGTTACGTTTTTATGTATGTATGTATTTTCTATGTATTCTAAATATTAGTAGTTGTAGCACTTCAGCCGCCTGCTAACGATATGCTTTCTAACTGTATTAGATTAACTGGAAAATATCTCTGTCAGAGATAAGTCCACCCTTGGTCACAATATTTATAAATGCATTATATTACATGTAATTTACAAGTGTAATAAAGAATATAGACTTTTTCACACAAAAATTACTGAACGAATTTGAATTAAACTTGGTACATAGGTAGGTTATATCCTAAGAACAGATACTTTATGTACTGATTCACACAAGGAAAGCCGCTAAATAATGCTATTAATAAGCGATTACCTTACAAAAACAAGCAAGCATTTTGTTAAAACTTACCATCTAAATATTGAGATGGTGTTTTGACAGGAGCTAAATATTCTTCTTCGTGATAACCTTCTTCCTCAGATGTCGGCTTTGGTGTTACTTCTATTAAAGGTTTCTCAGTAGCTTCATGTTCTGTGGTCGTGATTGGTTGCGGTGTACTTAAAACTGATGAGTCGACATCGTTTTCTATCGGTACCGCTCTTAAGGCATTCAAGATTTGTAGTAATGTTCGTATTGACGCCCCTACATTTTCTCTTGTTATTGGTTTCGGAATAGATTTATTCAGTTGTAATGAATTTATAAGATCTCCTAATGTTACCGCATTAGAAGACGGATATTGTACATGTTTGAAAATTGGTTGTTCTAGTATGGGCTTATAGGATACGTGTTCCGCTGGTGGCTTAAATTTAGCCTCTTCTACCATATACTGATAATAATTTGATAAATCAGGACTTGTAGTTGAAGTCACGACTGGTTCCGGCGTAGTTGATTCTTTCGTACTTTCAAAATATGGTAAAAGTGTTTCTGATGGTATTGACGTATAACGTGGAACTTCTGTAGTAACTATTGGAGAAATCGTAATAGGTTTGAAACCATTTTCAATGATTGGTTTAACTAGCATAGGATTTGGACGACGTTTTTCGTAATAATTTTCTGAAATTGTCGGTGAAGGTTGTTTTCTAGCAGTCGTTTGCTGAATATTAACGTTATCATAATAAAGCTCCGATTGGATCGGTTTTGGTTTGATATAAACTTGCTCTCTAATACCTAACGTAGGAATAGGTTTTTTGAAACCATTATAATAATTTTCGTTTGGGGATACAACTGTAACAGGTGGAGTTTGCTCATAAGGAACTAATTTATATCTAGGAGTGTGCTCCTTTTCATTTAAATAGTATCTTATATTTGGAGACTCTTCGTTGTTATAGAAATTTATATAAGGTGCCCTATTACGAGGTATAAAGGGAGTACTTGGCGCTTTAATTACCTGTTTTCGCACTATACTTTCATAATTGTGTTCATTATTTGATGTATTTGGACGTCTTGATAGAAAAGGATTGTAATTTGGAAATACTCTAACTGTATTTTGATTTATAGGAACAATTTCATCATAGAAATTTTTTGTAGGATTTGCAGAGGCTATATTATATTGTGTTAATCTATTTCCTTGATATCTTGGAATATTTCTATGAGAAGAAAATATAATCTTCTTTGGCTGACGATCATTTGGAGGAAGGCCCACAGTTGTAGCTTCAATAATTTCTGCTTTTTCAACTTCAATGTCTTTATCGTTATATGTTTCAGGCGTGGATGTTACTAAATCGTTTGCGTAGTAAAATGTCATGTATGGTATTAATCTTCTATATCGTTCATTTATAGATAGCTTTGTCGAATTGTCATTCAATCTTCGACTTTTATTATAATTAGTATTAGTAGCTATTTCTCTTGATATAGGCACAACAGGAACAAATTTTTTTTTAATATCTACCATCATACCTCCAATCATTTTAATCTCTGGACTGTTGCCATTAGATGAAACTCTGATAGATGCTACCATACTTGTAGTAACTGAAACAAAGGGAATGTTAAAATTTTATTTTTAGTTTCTAATCTTTAATTAAATAAGATTACCGAGACATTTTTCAACTAAGCTGACACACTGTATACACTGAATTTAAAGCTAAATCTACGTTTCAACTTAACATTTTCAGACATTATATAGTACATATAAATTGTATAGTATAAAGTACTTATTTTTTTGCATTGTTCATTTAAATATAAGATAGATATGTGTAGGTAGGTACTGTAATAAGACTATAATAAAGAAAATTATATGCATATAAAATTAAAAAATATCTATATATAAAAATAGATTTCTGATATTTTTCTTCAAAATCTGCATTTTATTGTTTTAGGTATAAAGTATACATATATGTATATTGTATTGTATGTCTACATACCTATGCTTACCTGTTTCTAATATCTATATTTTTTTATACAACTTATAATGGCAAACAAGCTGACGGCCCACCTGATGGAAAGTGGTAGCTATAGACTATAGACATGAGCACTACTATGGACATAACAGAATATACTGTTTCGCCATGATACCCCCCATGCGTTGCCATTCCTGAGGAGTCAGATGTTATTATAAACATATTATACTATATTACAAACGTTTACTAGTATTTAATTAGTTATGTTGAAATTTGGTTATCTATGGAACTTCTGTGATAATCGGCCACTTTACACTAGAAAATATAATTTCATCGAATATAGGCTCGTTTGCCCCTATAGATATATACAGAGTATAAATAAATGGTTGGCACATACTTATTATAAAACTTAACCACCAGGAGGGAAAAGCATTGTCAGTAATGGCAGGATCTAACAACCCTATTGCTAGCAATATAGTATATATATTGCTTGTATCAGTTCGACTTTCACGCGGAACTCCCTGGAAACCATATTGGTTAATTCTTTATAAATTAGTGTCCTACCTGTTTCATCCTCGCCTACTCGTATCATCTCTCACTGGCACCTCGCTAGCGTATACCTATAACGTAGGCGAAGTTGCCATTCCACTGTCATACATTAAAGAAAACCTAATCGTCATCACAAGATTTACTACATACAAACTTTCCTCTAAAAAAATTTTCTAAAGTTTATAAAGCGGTCAAAAACTCATCAGTCCAATTGAATAAAACAAGACATCCGTTCTACAGTGACCTTCGTTTACTTGCCTACAAACATTCTTCATTAATTAATTATCAAAGATTACCTTGATATTATAATAAAATTCTAAAAATCACGCATTTTAACTAAAAACGTGTATCAGTTTTCTTATTGCGATATAGTTGTTGCGTGTAGACAATAGAAATACGTATTTAAATGCACGAATATCTCCTTTTATTTTAGCCTTATATGAAACTAGTGGAAAATAGCCTTCTAAATCTATGGAACTGGCGTACATGGGGAGACTTATAAGAATATATACGTTAATTTTTTTAACCAACTCCGTAAACGACTTTAGAATCAAGACGGAGAAAGATAGATTATAATACAAGTAAAAACATATTTTGGTATCTAGTGTAATTGTAAAACTTGGGGGGAAAGGGATTGTTAACAATGGAGTTTGATAGCCCCATTGGTAGCACTATGCCCTACTAGGTCAACCTACACGTGGTTCCCCCTGGAAACCATCGTGAACAATTCTTGTTGAATTCGTCACGATGGGCTAACTGACCTACTTTATTCTCACCTATCATCGTTTACTGGTGCCCGCCGGTGTATACCGATAGCGTGGATGGGGTTACCATTGCATTATCATCCATAAAAAAAATTGTAAAACTTGAGAAGAAAAATCGATTTTGTCATGGTATACCTTGCTACCTCTGATGTTATTTATTTTAAAAGCTGTTTTTGTTTGAACTTTAAAAACCCTTGGCAGAGAAATTACTAAGTATGAAAACCAACACATAACGAGCCATGGGCGTTAATATCTATTCCGTGTTTATGTCATATACAACATATATTATTAACACTATCCATTCAAGTGGCCCTTAACTTATTTGCTATTCAAATTTGTATAAAAAAATTGGCAGTGACCTAGTTATGTATATCAGACTTATAATTAATAGCAAAAGAGAGTTGAATATTTAGCAAATGTTTTGGTAACAAGATTAATATGTATTCTTGCCTTCTATAATAAACATTACAAAGAAACGCACTGCAATTAATTTTCATTATATTTGAAGGTTGCAAACAAGTAGATAGATGCTTAATTAACTGTAATTATTCAAACACCTGCCTTACGGTTGCGTGCTAAACATATTGGACCATTGCAGCTTCTCTCACTTTCATATCCAGTTATGTAACAATGATCTAATATCATTTGACCATTCAAATTGATAATAATTTTATAAATTAGTTCTTAATTAGTAATTGATGCCAAACGAACTGTTTATTTTATTCTCCAATTTATCTACTTTCACAACTCTAATTTGAGTTTTTGATTAATATATGTAAATAAATGGATACCTTTAATTAAAATACCATAAACAATTAGGTATGGCTATTATATTACTACGAAATAGGATATTATCATATTGGTACGATAGGTCATCACCACTACCCTTAATAGAGGGGAGAAAGGACTGTAGATAATGGGGACTATCGACCTTATTGCTAAAAATATACCCTGTTAAGTCGACCTACATGTGGTTCCCTATGGAAACCATAGTGGTTAATTCTTATGAAATTCATCACAATAGACTAACTGATCTGCCCATTTATCACCTATAAACCCTCACTGATGCCCAGTTAGCGTAAACCGATAGCGCAGATGGAGTTACCACCCCATGCCCAAGAGATGTTTTTAATGATAAACATCCATTAAAAAAATCCTTTGGGTATATGTAATGGTAGGTAGGTAAGTAGGTATAGGTAAAAACACAGAGGTAAAGATATTGTGTTCGTTGAATTAATAGATTGATAGATATATTTTTTTAATTAACAAAATAGAAGTGGATCCAAAAACTGAGCGCTAATTATAATTTATCACTTTTTCAGAAAATGTATCTACCTATCCTTATAACTGAAGGTCTCCTCTAAAAGGATTTCATTTAAAACTAACTATGTTAGTACAAATTTTTTCTTCGGTCATGTCGCTGATCGCAAACACGGCTAAGTTACCATTGACATAATAGAACTATTGTTTTATTAGTATGAACTCCATGGGTCAGATTCGTGATTCAATAATATAAGCATGATGAACTTTACCAAGCAAAGTCAGGAAATAAGGTCACAAGCCTGTGCCTCTGATCTTAAATAATCTATGTCCTGTTATAGGTGTTTAACGTTTAATTATTTAATAAATAGTAATACGATTTTAAAATTGTTAAATGTCAACTAATGAACATCGGTTATCTTCACCTGATAATATGCAGAACATCACCACAAAATATGCTGTGTGTATATGGTACCCAGTTGAGGCCAGGTTGCGTCCAAAGGTCTACACAACTTCAATTCAAGTTCGAGTATTGAACTGTCTGCCTGAAATGATATCTATTAAAATACTAATAATTTGATTTTGTTAGTAATTAGATGAGTAATTTAAGATTGTGATCCGTAAAAAAAACTTCAATGGTGGTAAAACCAATTATTTTGATTTAAAAAATAAATTACTGAACCATTTTACTAAAATTTCTATGTCAATCTGAAGATCTTTCAGATAAAAAATCCAAATCGATTTATAAACGATGGAGTTATAAAGTAACAAACACAATAAGAAAACCGCATTGAGAACCTCCTCCTTTTTTGAAGTCGGTTGAATAGCGGTCTATGTTTTTATATTTGTCTTATAATTGCAAAAGAACTACCCGCTAATAAATTGATTCTACTAATTAATTTTTCTATTAGTAGCGACTCTACCGGTGAACTCTACGGAAGTACGGATCGTGAGGTTCATAGACAGCTTTACTAATCACAAATTGAATTGTTACTATCCGCATGGAGTCGCATGAATACACATACAATAGGTAGATTTTTATTTTTTTATTATTCCAGCCGTTAACTACCCACTGCTGAACAGGCAGGCGGGTCGACAACCACAATTAGACTTTGGTGATATTTTAAAAGGAACGCTGTTGCCCATCTCTCGACCATTAAGTTTTCTCAGCCACTGCTCACGACACCCACGAGAAACGAAAGGGTGGCCTATTCTATACCGGGACCACACAGCTTGTATAATAAGTAACAATAATAATTAGGTATTCATAGTTTCATAGGATGGCCTTCTGTAGATGCTCAATCTCTAACAGATAAACACTACCGTATAAGTCTCTGGCATTGTATTATATTTAAAATTCTCAACACTCTCTACATTTCTTTTACTGATAGTAAAAATTTTTATATTCTTATTTATTTTTAGTATCTATAACTTCCTCATTTGTTAACTTATAGCAGTATCTTTGATATTTGCATTTTCTCTATAATTTTTGTGAAATGTTTATACTATTATATAAATATTTTACAAACACCTAAACCTAAAATTTATTCTGATCACCAAAACCTAGTATAAGTAGACACAAGAGAAAAAAACAATTGCTATATTTTTGATAATAACTATCTTTTACCCATTACTTTATACATGAGTTTTCAGAAATATTAAAACCAATTAAATAGACTACTTTTATCTAGCAAAAACATACACTAGATTTTAAGTTATACCTTCAAAAATACAACTGTGAGAATCGCATCCAATTTGGTACAGTAGTTCTGGCGTGATACCAGAACAAACAGGTAGACAAATTTAAAAAAATCCGGCCTCCATTTCTCTTATTAAAACCCCTCATATTTTTTTATATATTTTTCTTAAATATCACTCATATATAGATATCGTTAAATAACAATTTTATTATGTTAGTAAGATAATATTGAAATGGTTAGTAGATAATGAAAGTTTATTCCGACTACGAAATAGTATGCAAATACACATACCCAATTTATCGTTCGAGTCACTTTAGAAAGGCTGGATCGTGTGTCGAATACGGCAAACCTTGGAGAAG